TCAAGACCGGCCTCCCCAGCGCCAAGTGTCTTGAGCTAGCGACCGGGCTCGCCATTCCCCTCCTGGATGGCGACTATCGCTTCTACATGACGATCGGCTTCATCATCGCCTCGTCATCATTATCCGGATCGGCTCCTCATCGCCATCCGCACATCACGACCGGCCTCCCAGCCTTGGCGTGATTATTTCTCCTCAAGACCGGCTTGTCATTGCCAAGTGTCTTGAGTTGGCAATCGGGCTCGCCGTCCCTTCCTGGATGGCGACCGTTGCCTCTATATGACGATCGGCCTTCACATCGCCTCGTCATCATATGTTGGACCGGCTCATTATCGCCGTCGTCCTTACATCGCGTCCGGCCTCTCGGCTAAGGCGTGATACCTTATCCCAAGACCGGTCTTAGTCATCCCTTCCCGGATGGCGACCGTTGCTTGGATCTTCGGATCGGCTCATCATCATCGCCATCTGCACATCACGATCGGCCCCCCGGCCTCGACGTGATGATCTAGCTCAAGACCGGCTCCCTTAGCGCCAAGTGCCTTGAGCTAGCGACTGGGCTTGCTATTCCCTTCCGGGATAGCAACCGTCGCCTCTACATGACGATCGGCTCATCTCCGCCTCGTCATCATCATTATTCGGATCGGCTCATCATCATCGCCATCCGCACATCACGACCGGCCTCCCAGCCTTGGTGTGATTATTCCTTCTCAAGACCGGCTTCTCATCGCCAAGCGTCTTGAGTTGGCAATCGGGCTCGCCGTCCCTTCCTGGATGGTGACCGTTGCCTCTACATGATGATCGGCGTTATCATTGCCTCGTCATCATATCTCGGACATGCTCCTCAGCATCTTCGTCCTCACATCACGATCGGGCCCTTCGGCCACGACGTAATGCTTTATCTCAAGACCGGCTCCCTCAGCGCCGAGTGTCTTGATCTAGCGATTGGGCTTGCTATTCCCTTCTGGGATAGCAACCGTCGCCTCTACATGGCGATTGGCCTATCATTGCCTCGTCATCATACATTGGACCGGCTTATCATAGTCGTCATCCTCGCATCGCGGCCGGCCTCTCGGCCAAGGCGCGGTACCTTATTTCAAGACTGGTCTTAGCCATTCCTTTACTGGGGGGCGACCATTGCATGGATTTTTGGGTCGGCCCCTCAGTGCCGATCATGGCAGGCCCTCGGCCTCGACATGATCATATTCCCCAAGATCGGTCTCAGTCATTCCTTCATCGGATGGCGACCGTTGCTTGGACGTTTGGCTCAGCCTCATAGTGCTGACGACCTCGCATCACGATCGGCCCCCCGGCCTCGACGTGATGCCCTATCTCAACACCGGCTTTATCAGCGCCAAGTGTGTTGAGCTAGCGATCGGGCTCCTCATCCCTTCCTGGATGGTGACCGTCGCCTCTACATGACGACCGGCTCATCTCTGCCTCGTCATCATTATTCGGATCGGCTACCCATTATCGCCATCCTTATATCACGACCGCCGCCCCGGCCTCGGCGTGATGATCTATCTCAACACCGGCTTCATCAGCGCCGAGTGTGTTGAGCTAGCGATCAGGCTCGCCATCCCTTCCTGGATGGTGACTATCGCCCCTACATGGCGACCGGCTTATCATCGCCTCGTCATTGTTATTTTGGATCGGCTCCTTATCACGGCCGTCCTCACATCACGATCGGCCCCTAGGCCACGATGTGATGTCCTATCTCCGAGATCGGCCTCTCATTGCCGAATGTCTTGGGTTAGCGATCGGGCTCTCCATCCCCTCCCGGATGGCGACCGTCGCCTCTATATGACGACCGGCTCAGCATTGCCTCGTCATCATATCATCAGACGGGCGTCCAACGCCTCGTCCTCATATTCAGACAGGCGTCCAACGCCTCGTCCTCATATTCAGACAGGCGCCCAGCGCCTCATCCTCATATTCAGACAGGCGCCCAGCGCCTCGTCCTCATATTCAGACAGGCGTCCCACGCCTCGCCCTCATGTTCGGATCTAGCAAACATCTTGCAGTCTCCGGCTCAAAGACTAAAGGATCCCTGATCTCATCTACAGGCCCATCGGCCATATATCTTGCTCTGTCATCTTTATTTGATGACGAGAATCTCATCTACAGGCCCATCGGCCATATATCGCTCTGTCATCTTTATTTGATGACGAGAAGCTCATCTACAGGCCCCTCGGCCATATACCGCTCTGTCATCTTTATTTCATGACGAGAAGCTCATCTACAGGCCCCTCGGCCATATACCGCTCTGTCATCTTTATTTGATGACGAAGAGCTCATCTACAGGCCAATCGGCCATATATCGTTCTGTCATCTTTATTTGATGACGAAGAGCTCATCTGCAGGCCCCTCGGCCATATATTATTCTGTCATCTTTATTTGATGACGAGGAACTCATCTATAGGCCTCTGCGCCATATCTCGCCCCGTCGTCTTTATTTGACGACGTGGAGCTCTTATGCAGGCCCCTCGGCCATACATCGCCCCGTCGTCTTTATTTGACGATGTGGAGCTCTTATCCAGGCCCCTCAGCCACACATCGCCCCCTCGTCTTTATTTGACGACGTGGAGCTCTCATATATGCCTCTCGGCCACTACTCCCAGTCATCTTTATTTGATGACGTGGAGCTCACATCGGCCCATCGGCCTCATATTCTGGTCATCTTTATTTGATGAACTAGACATCACATTATGGACGGTCGCTTGACCCATCCCTTAGTCATCTTTATTTGATGACTAGGACTACTGATCATGACGAGCTACCCACATCTAGAGATCGGCCTCGGCCCTCGGCCATCCCCTCAGCAGACGGACACCGTTGCAGCTCCATCTCTAGGCCGAAGGGCTCGCACCTTTTGCTTCGTTTTGGGGGCATCCGGTGTACTCTTTTTCCCTCATTAGGATTTTTTCCCACAGGGTTTTTCCTAATGAGGTTTTTAACGAGGCATCTCCCCATTGTGGATCAAAAGGTGTCAACCCTCGGCCCCCTGTTGCAGACATCATCAGACATGCATTACTCTACTCCTCTTCACCTCGTTACACTCGCCTCAAGGAGTGGGGGACTGGGAGAGCGGGGGACTTAGCGCCTTCGCTACCAAAGAAGCAGAAATTCAAAATTTTTGCAAGGATTGCCACTCGCACCGACGACATCATCATATCACATACATATTCAGCTGCCACATCGGCCAGTACATATACATAGCTCCCCCGCCTCAGGACCGGTGGTGATGGTCTCTGGCCTGCGACCTTCAGCTGAGGATTTTCCCACAGGGTTGCCTCAGCCAGGGCTCACCAGTGGGATCGGATCATCAGCTTGGGAATCCGGGCGAGGCGCTTCGACGACGACAGCAGTTTACTCACCGGACGACGACAGATCAGCACACAGTTCTACTCTCTTTTCGCCTCGAGTACTCTCGACTCAGAGAGTGGGGGACTCCTGATAGAGTATATAGACTCGGACCCTGGGTATCACGACTATTGGGCCCAGACAGCGGCCCGGACAGCGGCCCACATATGTTCAGTAGATAGCATTTATTTCCTTGTACACTATATTTATTCATATGTACCCATTAAAATAGATTAGATACTATTTATTAGCCATTTATTGGCCTTTTATTGTAATTGGGCCTTCTAGGCCCAAGCCTGGAAGCCCAACCCTCTTTTCTCCTATAAATACTCCCTAGGGGAGCCATGTAAAAAAGAGGTTGGTTGGAAATTCATTATACACATATCACTTTATCTCTCTAGCTCTCCCTTCTCTCTAGAATTAATACTCTATCAGTCGAAAATGGTAGGAACCGGTATAACCTCGTCCAAAACCGGTCTGGAAGGCGTTGAACCGGGCTCCACAAATACGAACTGGTTCGGTCTGGTTCAGACAGCAGCCTAATGTGCATACCAGCAAGCAGATGATGTGGCAGCAGCTGGCTCTGCGCTGGCGGCACATGGCGGCACGTGGCAGATGATGTGGCTGGATCGGCGGCTTGTTCGGATGATGTGGCGTCTGAGTCAGCCCGACGTGGCGCTGACCTTGTCCGGTGTGGCGATGATGTGGCGCTGACTGGTCATCTTCTTCCTTCAGACGGAGCGTGCATCGGCTCCCTCTCCTCCTGCCGGCGCGTGTGGCGGATTCCGGTGGTCGTTCAGTCGCCGGAAAATATCACAATTTTCCCCTCGACGAGCCGAACCCGATGGTGTGATCAGATCGTGATTCCAAGAAACTTCAAAAATCACGATTTTCTAACCTGTAGAAATTTTTCTGAAAAATGAGAAAAAAAAGTGTATGGAAACTCAACCTCGCTCTGATACCACTTGTTGGGATTGCAAAATTCTTTTATTCAATATCAAGAATAGAATAACAATAGGAGGAGCAAACTCTCACACTCAACTATTATTAAAAAAACCAATCTTCACCAATACACTTCTACTCTAAGTGTATTTCACTCTTCACACACTTTTCTCACTTTGTAAAACTGATGTTATGAACAACAATAGAACACTTTATTTATAGGCTAGTTTGGGGACAAGAGAAAGTTGCATTCAAGCTTCCTAGTTATCTCCATATCTTCTCTCATGTTTATATGTTGGAGAGCTCTTTCCAAGAAGGTGATTCCATGTTAAGGTGTCTCTTGGCAACTTTCAAGAAAGAAGGTGGAATATCTTTACAATTTTTTAGCTGAAATTTGGTATGAGTAAATTAGACTTAATGAAGAAAAAACTCAAAAAATTTCATCAAAAAATTCCACCGGATGATTTGATACTTTTCCCATTTTAAAATAAGGAGGGAGTATGAAAGAACAAAAGAAACAAATAAGCTGATTTTGACTCATTGAGAAGCTTATTTATTAGTCCATATCACCACATGTTTAAGCTTTCTCAAAAAAATATTTACTTGTCAAAACTGTCCCAAATTAAAAGAGTAGATAAAAACAAGATGTACCGGTTACATATTTGTCGTAATGAATAAGTTACTTGAATTGTAAAAACGAGAGACTAGCGAGCATCAGAAACTCAGAAAGCAAGTGAGACCGAATTTATTACTCACAACCTCCCAGACAACACTCCACCAGCCCTTCTCTTTTCCCCGAGATCTTTTCGCCAGTCCCAAGCCCTAGAAATTACTCATAGTAATATTCTTCCGTAAAGCGAAAACCATCCATACAAATATGATTGATTCTCCATCTCTTTGTGGGTTCATAAAAGCAATCCCTTCTGGTATAGCTCAGTAGAGAAGCAGACAAAAAACAGCAGATATGAGGTACTTATTGCCAATCTTGGCTCTCAATCTTTGCTTAAAATCCATCTCTGCGGACCCAAAATCTTCATTTTCTTTTAAGAATTTCGGAAAAGATTCAAACTTTCATTCTCAGTTTGCTCTGTATGGTGATGCTAAGGTTGTTAATGAAAGTATGTCCATAGAAATGGGTAATAGCAGTAAGATGAGTTCCGAAGATGGAATAATCTTGAGTAAGAAGCCTTTCAAGCTTGTTGATGGGAAACCCCCCTTGAAGAAATTGGTGTCCTTTTCCACCTACTTTGTGTTTTCCTTATTATCATCAGAAAGTGGGTATGGTCCTGCATTTGTGTTGTTCCCAAATGGGTATCCTTTCAATGTGTCAAAGAAAGTGGAAAGGTACAATCTTTTTGGGGTTGAGTTCAGTACATTGAAAAATGGTGTGAATGGGAATTGGGCCGGGTTTGATTTGATGAGTTCTTGTTTTACATCTGCTAAAGTGGTGAACGTTTCATCAGTCAAATTGGAAGTCAACAGAGGTCATAGATTGCAATCTTGGATTGATTACGAAGCAAGCTTGAAACGAGTAGAGGTTAGGGTTAACAATTTGGGTGACAAAAGGCCAGTTGATCCCATGCTTTACTGCACTGTTGACTTGTACCACATCTGGAAGAATGATGAAGAGCTGTTTGTTGGGTTAAGTACATCAAGATTAAAGAAGATGAACCATTCTGAAAATTCTAATGTTACTAATGTTACTAATGTTCATTCATGGAGTTTCAAGGCAAGAAGTACTATTCCAGATTGGGCACATTCCAAACCATTAGATCCAGGCGCTTTTCTGGGGGAAACCGAGGAACAGCGAAGCGTTTGTAAGAATAGTAAAAACTGTTGTACTTTGAAAGTCCTCTTATGTGCATTGGTGATCATTGGTGGTGGATGTGTTGCATTGGGGACATTCATGGTGTTTTTCATTCGGACAGTCTTAGTCGGCCCATCTCCTATCGTGCCCGAGGAGCTTACCGGGAAGCCCAAAGAGTATGGCAATGAGTACAAGAAGTATCAAGTATTAGTACTTGTAGATGGTGATGACCACAAAGCCTTCAAAGGTGGGAAGTAGCAGTTTATATTCTTTAGGGGAGGGAATCAAGCTCCTCTGTTTGGGTCGTCCGCAACCACTCGATAATCCGTGCTGTGAGCCCGAATAGGGCCCATGCCGATCTCGCGGTTGCTGGTCAATCAAACAGATGATCCTGATTGCTATAAATGGGTGTTTGTTTTGATTATTGTAAAAATCCTCTTAATTTTCTCACTATTATGTCTTGACTGTTTTGTGTAGTTGTGGTTTCATGACCTCAATAAGAACATCTCTTTGTTTGGTACCCCGTACCTGTATGTTAGAGGTCAATGAGTCAGCTAAAGAGAGAAAATTTAGAAAATGATATTTTGAATTGAACTACTAATCAATTGTATTTCAACGAGATATTTTATATTAATATATGCAGTTGCGACTATTGCATACGAATTGCCTATTACGGTAAGTTGCGTAAATGAAAAGAGGTAAAACTGTAAAAGTAAATAATTATTACTAACTTTCATCTTTTTCAACTTTGTGGTATTCTTTGCTTGATAATCTGAAAATCTGAAATACCTGTGTTGCCTGCCCTCCAGACCATGTAATTTCAACTTTATGCTTTTCTTGGTTTGGAGGTTCTTAAACAAGATCAGATTTTAATAGATCAAATCAAACTTTGACAGTTGCAAAATATATAGAATTTAGATATATATCAAACTAGATCAAATAAAAACACCACTAATCAAATTTATGTTACATTTTTATTATTTGTTTCATATTCTTTGTGCAGGAGCATAGACAAGATTAGCAAATTAAGGCGGCCAAAGACCACTTTTTAGAGTCTGAACATTTGGCTAAATTAGCGTTGACAAACGTATCCTAGATCCTACAAAACTATATGGATCTCAGTTTTGAAAGAATCACGTAGTACGGTAGTAGTAAAAGTCATACTCAACCTTATTCAAAATTATTATGAAATTAAGTCTACCTCTAAAGACTAAAGTGATGTGAAACAATGGTTCTTAAATAGGGGTGCAATTCTGATCAGAAGTCCTAATTTACCACAACTTAAGTGCTAAGAATTTGGGAACAAAATGGAGATGAAATCTGAATTCAAAGCAAGGTGAATATGTAACTAACTCAGCTTGTTTTTTATATCTTTTGGAAAAAGTTTTTAAACTTACATCTACTAAGTAGGGAGAATTCGAACAATTTGGGGTAACAAGCGACTCCAGCAGGGAAGAGATGGCCATGCGGGAATGACAAAACAACAATGACGGACAAGCGGAAACAATGTGTCACTCTATTCAGGGCTAACTGGGGTCGATTATAGGTGTATGAGATGATTCGCTAGAAAATATCCTAGTAGGTAATATCGAGGGTGGTGCAGGAGACCAGAAGATAATGGGGGAGCAAATGGGAGAGGACCAAATGAGCGAAGGAATGACACTGATGATCCAAAAAAGGGAGGAAGGCAAGTCCAGGGTACCAGGTCCAACTTGGTATGTGATGAGCTTCTCTCAAGATGCAGCTTTAGCTAGGTTTCTCCTTTTTCTTGGAGGACCTTTTTTATCCCGATTCTTTTCATTTTGTTGTATTTTTTTATTGCCTTTTTTAGAATATTGAGGAATTGCGTTGGTGATGATGAGTCTTTTTAATCAAGTAACATTGTTTTTTCGAAGGTGATTAACTCTAAAGTCTGGTTCGAAAGTGGTAATCAGAATGTGTCTTTTTATCTTGATGTAACTTGCAAGAATTCTTATTTCTTAGTATAAGCGATTTATAATCAATTTTTTTATATCGTTGTTTGGATATATTATCCCGGTATGTTACTGTTCAGAAGCTCAAAGCACTATCCCCACGCGGGGCCCGATCCGCAAGGCCCATCTCGGCACATCCGGCCCTTGCGGCCTGTTTCGGCCTATTAGGGCCCTTTAGGCCCATTAGGATAGATTTGACCCCCTTTCCCCCTTTTCTTATAATTATAACTAGGAGGTCTCCCCTCCATGTAAAGGGTTGGATTCTCTCCTCTTCCCTCCTTCTTCTTCTTCTTCTTCTTCTTCTCCCTTTCCCTCTAGTTTAGCTAGCTTGCAACCTCCATTAATGGAAGCTTCATACTTGTACTATGTAAATGGTGAGGAGAGTATTAATGAAAATGAGAGTGGCTTGGACATTAGTCCAAAAAGTCATGTGATTTTCTCCCTTTCGGGTTTTCACGCTAAATAGCTTATTCATACATTTTTAAGGAAGCTTGTTCATACATTTATTTAGACCATTTACACATTTATTACTGTTTCGTGTTGGATTAAACCTCAACAATTGTTATTACTATTGTTATTTTTTACACATACACATACATGATTGGTTTTATTTCTTAGCATAGATATTGTAAATAGGACTATTTGTATTAGTCTTTAAAACAATAGTGTAAAATAGCAACATTATTCATAATGTCATTTCTTAATATTATTATTGCACTGTCATTATTATTTTTATTTTACTTTTGATTAATATTGTTAATTTTGAAAAATTAAATAATAAGGTAAAATTGAAGAGTATAATAGGATTTTAAAATATAAATAAAAAAATAGTTGTGAAAATTACTCAAAGTGGTTATTCATTTTTTATTTTTTCGCATCAAACAATCAAATGAAAACAGCTATTCGGAATAAATTTGGATGTAGAAACTTCTAACTGTTGAAACGTTATACTTTTTGAATTTTATATATGCCGCAATATTGGTTTAATATAAAAGATCATACAAAGGTTTGAGTTATGATATACTCCGTATATTTAATTTTTCGTAAAATTGGAGTAAAAACTAATAAATATAACAATTAAAAAAAATGAGTTTTGTTGTTATGGGGTCCCATAGGATTACCCTCTTCCACGAACCAACTATTGGCCTCCTTGTTGGGTGAATAAGAGCATCTCCAATGCAATGGGTGCATCGGAGCTCATGTGGCAATTGAATGGAGAAAATCTATTTAGAAAAGTGGGTTTATTATTTCAAAAAAGAGAAGGTCTATTAAACACCCTCCAATGCAGAACATGTAAGCAAATAAAGACAAAAGAAAAAAAACAAAGAATAAACTCAATGAGAGGCCTCCCATGCAAATAGGCCCACGTTTCCTCTCTTGCTTTTGTCGGAAGGTGGCACCTTCGGTCCATATATGAACCTTCTCTTAGACTACAGTTCATTTTTTTGAATGTCACATCAACAGCACCAAGTCCATTATATTTTGCATTAGAGTAGACAATTGCATTTAGTAAGTGCATTTGCTGAGGTGGAACCACAACTCACCCCACCATTGGAGTTGCTCTAAGGATACCACATATTCCCCATGATTCTCTCCCTACCTATTTTGACATCATATATACATTTTGTGTTATGGACTTACGGGTGCATGTTTGCGGTGAATATCTGGATTATCACTCCATGATTTTCACATGCATTTTTTATTTTAAGAATAACAATCTATCCAAGACTTCTGCACTTTCACATATGATCTCATTCTTTTGTACTACTTCAATTCCTTAACAAGTGTAACGTGTTGAATTACAATATATACTCGTCCAATTGATCTTTTTTCAACTATATACTCCATTCGTTCAAGATCTTTTTTCAAATATTCTTACACATTTATCTATGCTATGCACAATTTTCCACCACACAATACTCATCATATTAATCCTCGTGCCAAAATATACTTTGGAAGATAATTTTGGGTGAAGGGAGCGCTTATCATGTAGTATCTTCCCTTCACCCACCTTGTATCCACTATCCAACTAGTCAATAGGCTTGGGATCAGTTAGGTTGCTAAGCAAAATAGATGGAATCATTCAAAAAATATCATATCTTAATAACGATTATGTTCTTATAAATTATTTATAGAATTGATACCGAACTAAACCACTCCTTAATGGCTCGATTCTTGTCATTTTGCGGTTCCTAGTTTTTAAAATAATTCAGTTAATTCTTACAAATTAAATATGCAAATATGTTTACCATCATTTCAAACCTCAAAAGTTGGGTTTAAAACATAATTACATAACAAACTGGAAATTAAGTAGATAAAATAAAACATGATATCTACAATTAGTAATTATGATCTTGAATTCGCAACCTAGTTTGTCAGTAAAGAAACATTCATTTCAAAATAGTGAATTTAACATAAAAATAAATAAGTAAATATGCTTTGAAATATAAATACTACTACCTCCGTCCCACTAAGATTGAGACGGAAGAAGGTGGCACGATTATTTAGAAAAGTGGGTTTGTGTAGTTGATATTAAATTGATAAAATAAGAATAAAGTAAGATTGGTTTAGAGCCACACAATCTTTACCAAATTTGGTATGAGACAATCTTAGTGGGACTTCCCGAAAAGGTAAAATGGGACAATCTTAGCGGGACGGAAGGAGTAATAAGTATTACTTCCGTACCGAAAAGGTTCGTCATATCATTTTTTTCTTGGTCAATGATTACCAACTTTGGACAATAATTTTAATTACTACTCCCTCCGGTTTTTAATAAACTTCACACTTTCTTTTTTGGGACGGTCTAAAATAAACTTCACACTTCCTTATTTCCTTTTTTGGCAAAGAAATCTACATCAAAACAGTGTCAAACAATGTCTCAACAGTGCCAAACAGTGTCTCTACAGTGTCAAACAGTGTCAAACAGTACCTCAACAGTGTACTCTACAGTAAAGTCAAATTTCTTTCCTTATTTTGTGTGAAGTCAAACTGTGAAGATTAAAAAAAACGGAGGTAGTATAATTCTCCGTAATATATAACTTATATATTTCATACTTTTATGAAAATATTTTGAATAAAGAAAATTTTGATATAATATTCATATTCGAAATAATTTTGTATTAAAAAATATCATGGATTAAAGTTGATTGCCATTGATAAAAAAAAATCAATTTGACGAACCTTTTTAAGATGGAGTACTATTGTTGAGGTTTATTCCCGAAGATCCGAAAGCCCAACACAAGCCTCGGATATTGTAGGGATATTGGGTAGGGTTGAAATGTGTATAAAATATAAAACAGTGAGATATTTGCTCAACTCAGAAGCTTACCGATATTCAATAAATATGTGGTTACACTGAGACTACCCGAACGGTAGATGAATATGAGATTACAAGGATAGGAGATGTAAATCTATTGCTAAGCTCTGAGTATTAAAATGCTAACCCTTTACAATGATCTAAACATGGGTATTTATACTAAAATGGGGATGGGTAAGGTGGACACGTGGTCGAATCTGGTAGGCTATCACCTCTGCCATGTAAGCACCCATGCCCCCACTTGCTGCCGCCATGATCCAGCATTAAATGCGGCCTCCACTTGCTGATTGCCCGTTCGGTCAAGGTGTTCGGTGTGTGGGACCCCGCCATAGGTGATAATTTCTACCTGAAGTATCCCGAACGCCGATCG